CCTTTTTTTTCAAATTCAACTCTAGATTAACAGCATGTTTAACCGAAAAAGAAAAAAGATATTATTTATTATATATTTTGAGTGTCGAGAGCGAGAGAGAGAGAGAGAGAGAGCGAGATGAAGTACCAACAAAAATTAGTCCAGTTTTATACGAAGAGAGCAACTAAGCTTTTTTTTGGGACGAATCAAAATATTTGATTAGCTTTGAATTCAGAGGCATATCTGAGATTTTCTCAAGGGGCGGAATTTCAGAAAAAAAATTGAGTTTGAAAACAACTTTTTCTAGTTGACCGAAATAATTTTCCGAGCGCTCCCAGAACGTTTCAAGATCCCGTTTCTGGGCGCTTTTCCTAAAAAAGTTCACCAAAAAATGCACATTGTTTTGGCGCACATTCCCTTTTGAAGTTAGAAAGCGCCTTTAGAAAAATTTTGGGACTAGTCGGCCAAACATTGATGTGATAAAAGAACACAAAAATGGGGGCCGTTCGGTTGGTAAGGGGGTTGAATCCCAGAGAAGGTGGAGGAGTCGCAGGTGGAGGAGTCGCAGAAGGTGGAGGAGTCGCCTAAATAGGGCTCTATGCTGTATCCGAAAACTTGTTTGCTTTCCAAGGAAAACCGAAAGAATGAAGCGTATGTTTCAATACACAACTTATGATAGGCGCTTAATTTGTGGTCGGCAATTCACTGGAATCCAAGAATAAATCTTTAAGTCTATTCCAAATTTAAATGTTTCCTCTTAAAAATTGCGCCAGTTTTGTCGGAAAGTTAGTATTGTCTCGGATTCCGCAACAAGCGAATTTTAAAACTAAAATTTGATGACATTTTTTTTGAGCCATACGCACTTTTGTCATTGGGGAGCGCTTTGTCGTTCAGCTAATTAATCCGATTCGAGCTTGAACAACCAACCCTCAAAAAATTGAACTTGATCGTGGAAACTGTTAATAAATTTTTCTCAAAAATATAAACAGAAAGTGTCAGAGGACTTAAATAAGTGTCTTCACTCCGTTAATAAACATTCGCAAGAGCATTTCCTCGTGGGCAAGTGAACATTAACAAAAACAAGTTGGCTAATGAGCAGTTTCTAGAAACTTTCATTAATCAATTTTACAAGGAAGAGGGTGTGAGAAACATTGAAAAGCTTATATGTTGAGTACAGTGGTTTCGTTTGATGACTTTTGAACTTCATTATATGGCCAAACTGTGAGCTTTAGACGGATTCTGCAACAGGCCAAAAACAGATTTGTCGCGGATTCCACAACACTACTAGTTTTATTTGATCTTTTTTGCTAACTTACATTCCACGAACACATAATTAGAGCACGGCCTTGGTCAAAGTTGCTGCACAACAGGCGAGATTGCGGAATCTGTAAAAAAAACTGCGGAAACCGGAACAATTTGTGGAATCAACATACAAGTAAAATTATATGTGCTCAGTAAAAATGTGCTGTCCCGGATCCGACAATTCTAAATGGAAACCGCAAATTGTAAGCCGAATCCGTAAAATTTAAGCTGAATACGCAAAATGCAAGCAGAATCAGCCTACTTTTGCGGTATCCGCTCACAATTTGACTACACACATAATTTTACTTGTTTGTGGATTCCACAAATTGTTCCGGCTTTCGCAAAACTTCTTATAGATTCATCAAGTTCGCCTGTTGTGGAGCAAGATTGAGCAATACAGTGCTTTAGTTTGATTTGTGGAATCCAAAACAGCAAAGAAGGTCAAAGAAAACTAGCGATGTTGCAGAACTAAAATTCTCAAAATACACAATTTGGACTCGTAATGAAATTCACAAGTCATCAAACGAAACCACAGTACTCAACATATAGGCTTTTTAAAGTTTCCCATACCATCTTCCTAGTAAATTCGAAAATTAAAGTTTTCCAGAAACAGCTCATCAGGCAACATGCTTATAAAATGTTCACTTGTCCACGCTTAAGCGCTTTTTTATATATTAATGAACGGGAGCGAAGACACTTATTTAGGTCCTGTGACACTCTCTGTTTATACTTTCGAGAAAAGTTTTAAAGCATTTTTCCCTTCAAGTTTGATTTCATTAGCTGAAAGTGAGGTAAATTACGCTCCCCAATGACAAAAGCCTGTATGGATCAAAAAAACGTAAATGACTTTCAGTTTTAAAAGTGATTTCAGTTTTTTTATGCCTAGTGGGATAAGCAAAATTGTCTATCTATCTAGTTTCTTAAAATTGGTTTACTTTTATTGAAAAGTTTCAATCAGAAAAGACTCATGAAATTGAAAGAACCTGAAACTTTTTCGGTCATTCTTTTTAAATTTATGGACTTTCTTTTTGAAACTGTTTGCTGGCTATCATAGATGTCGGCAGTTTGGAACATCAATAGCCACTTCATGCAAACTTTCATAAATCTGATTTAGGACAATTTTTGGTTTTAGCGCGTATCGAACCTACATGGACAATTTAGCACTTCATCACTATCGTCAAGTCGACGGGATCAGAAACAAGAAGGGGGCTGAAATTCTTCAGATCCGGAAATTCTGCCAGGAAATAGAGTCCAGGTCTCACTGGTGGGTGATTTCAGGATCTGACAATTTAGAAGGTGTGACAGAAATTGAAAGACGAGCGCGACAATCTGCAAAAATTATATCTGAGACTTAAAAAAATAATTTCAGTAATTTATTACCAAGCTACAAGATAGTGGTTACATATCAGTCAGTAGACAGACAGCCTAGTAAACAGAAACGCCCTTATTTACAATAAAAAATCAATTTCTTTGTATAAGCTTTTTTATATTTAAGAACTACGATTTTAATCGCCAGATATTTTGCAGCAACTCGTTTTTCAAAAATTATTTTCAAACATCAACTCAATTTGAATTATTTCAATTTGAAACAGGTAATCATTTAACCAATCTCGAATGAGTATTTCAAAAACAAGTTTCAGACCATTTCTTAGTATATGAGATTTGAGTATTAACAAATATTAACAAATTGGAGTGGTTACAAATTTGAAAAAAAAATTAAATGAAGGTTGTCTGCTTGCTGACCTCGCATCCAAAACGTAGTTTTGAGTTTTCATTGTGGTATAATGCAATACGTGATAAAATGATATCTTGCCATTAAAATACAATTTCTATGAAATCTAAAAATTTGTTTGTCTTTTGGTAAAATTGACTTGCAGCTGCTTCATCGGAAATTGATATTTGAAAAATTTACCTACCTTTGTTTATAACGACAAAATTGATTTCTGAGATCTCCCACAACACTACGAAGACCCTATTTTGACCACTTTTTCAGCGCCGCAAGCAAATTTTTGAAGAGTGTTTTGAATTTTTTAGGCTCTTCTTGAAATGTTTTTGTTTAATCGAAAAAAGCGTTGTTCCGGAGCTCCGTTAGAACAAAAATAGCGTCGATCAGCCAAAATACATGTCTCAAAATAGTGCCAAAGGGGCACCATGCGAGGAGAGGAAGAATCCTCCCTTTCCTTCAAATTTTCCTACTGATATAGTCATTTTTGTTACAATTAAAATCAGGTTCAATTTTAGGTGCGATCGATAAAAAATCCGTAGCATTCCGCTGAAACTTTGTTCCTTTCCTATGTAGTGTGAAGCCGTGGCTTAGTTTTAAGTCCTTAAATAATTCAACTTAATAAAGTCTTGAGGGGTTAACTTTTTTCGAAGGGGGTTTAACTTTGCCTTCATTCCATTATGCAATTACTCTTCATGAGGCGTAGCGATTGGTATGTATGCCAATTAGCCCGCGACAAAAACTGCTTTATCGAAGTGTCCAGTTGGGTAAAACCCGATTTATCCTACAGTTTATCTTCCTAGAAATATTTAATATTAGAAATATCATTTAAGTAAGAGTTTGACTCAAAATTTGGCAAACTGCTCACCAGATTTGATATTTGGGAATTCAACTCAAATGTTTCTGGATTGATCCTCGCACGATGTCAACTTTCTTCATAAAATCAGTCTGCATGTAAAAAACAGCCCAACTGCTTATCGGTAAATTGCGCGCTAAATCTCCGTAGGATGAATTTAAAACCAACAAATTAACAAATATTCGTATTCTCGGCAATACAAAATTCATCGACAGTATTGATAATTTCATCCAAAATTTGCGGTAAAACAAGTTCATATATTCACCAATCACCAGCCCCATACGACACAAATTGGCGCAGGCTAGCCACAAGAACCGGTCGGTAATGTCCTTGAGACAAATTGCTCTTTTTGGCGGTCAGCCTTACTCAAGGCTGAACCGAGTTAGATCCAAAAAACAGTTAAAATAGGACGTGACCCCTTTTATAATATATTAATACATGGGCAGCTGGGGAACTTTTTGTTTTTATTTCGTTATATTAAAATACTTTTCGTTATTTTAAAAGACTTTTCGTTATATTAAAATATATCCATTTATACTCTCGCTTACATTTGCGTTGCAACATCCACCCCCCCCCCCCCCAAGAAGGAAGAACCGGAGCGAGCTTAACGGTCGGCCGAGTGACTTCACGGGTTGCGGTCTTAACAAGGGCGGATCGGGCGCAACCGTCCTGCCCGTAGTTAAGCTTGACGATTCGGGCAAGGGGGTAGTACACACGCGGACTATCGGGCTCAATCATATCGCCTGTCTTAAGAGTGAAGTCAGAATGAGTGTGCCACTTGACACGCTTATTCAGTGAGGGAACATGATCGCGAAGCCAAAGAGACCAAATAGCGTTACCATACGACTGTGCTCGCACGTACTTTTTCTTGTGATTGAAGTGCTCCCCAGGTAAAAGCGAAGGAAAGCTAGTGGCATGTTGTCCAAGCAAAAAGTGGTTTGGGGTTAACGCTTCTACCTCACGTGAATCAGTACTAACAGGCCTCGAATCCAAATCCTGCTCAACTAAGCAGAAGGTTGATCCTAACACCTCTTCGGTGACTCGCCTACTGCCTAGTATATTGTACAGCACGCGCTGCACGCTTCGGACGAGGCGCTCCCAGGAGCCGCCATGATGGGGTGCACCTGGCGGGTTAAATTTTCAAGTAACACCTTGGTGTGTAAAAATGGTTAGAGCCATGCCATTCAAGCTCTTGATGCAGGCAACTAATTCTTTTTCAGCACCAACGAAGTTCGTGCCGATATCCGACCAGATCGTGCTTGGTGTACCACGACGCGCAATGAACCGTTCAATGCCCATGACACGAGGACTAGTGTCCAGAGATGGTATGATCTCAAGGTGTACAGCCCTGGTGGTGAGGCAGGTGAAAAGGAATCCCCATCTTTTTTCAGTGCTTCTGCGAACCGGAACGTAAAGCGGTCCAAAGTAATCCACATCCGTATGATTATAGGGTGGTTGCTTAGATCCGAGACGTTCTACAGGTAAATCGGACATAATAGGCTGGATGGTACTTGCTTTGCGTTAACGGCATGTTACGCATTGATTTTCGATAGACATAGGTAGTCGACGCAACCCAAGTATTGCTTATTTCTTATTTAAAACGGAGCGCGCGCATTTAATCTAATGAATTTGATGAAAATGCGTATGGTGGATGCTGCGGGCCAACAAGCGAACTAGGTTATGTCGGGCGTCGAGTGAAATTGGGTTCTTGGTATCAAAATCGGTATTCACAAGACGAACAATCCGGCCGGTGGAACGAATGATACCAGCGGGACCAATAAACGGAGAGTATTTGGCAATTTTACTGCTAATTTTAGTAGGTTTGCCAGAGGTGAGTGTTTTCAACTCAACAGGTAAGGATTCCATCTGAGCAAGATGAATCAGTTTGTTTTCTGCAATATGAAAATCAGTGGGGTCGGTGATTCTTAAGTCCTTAACGCGAAAATGCTTATGTGAAGGCAGCATCCTCAACATAAGGGCGGCTACTCTTTTAAATCTTGTAAAAGAATTGAACATTTCCCAATTGAACCCGTGTGTGGGTTGTTGATGGATGTGACATCGGTGACGAAGGAATATGATGTCTCCAAGCAATTATCGACTTCATAAGAAGGACCCTTCAATTGAATTTTAATGATCACACATTCGTCGGGTACAAACGGCCAATCAGTGGTCCTGAGAAATCTCGGACCAATAACCCAGCTGCTATCTTTGAGGGCTTCCGAAGAAATCCCCCGCGTACCAGTATCAGCTGGAAAATTGCCGCTCAGACCATGGTGCCACTCATCAATAGTGGTCAATTCGAGGGTTTCGCCGACACGGTTGACGACGAATACAGGTAATTTGTCATTGGAGTTTAGCCACTGCAAAGCTTTAGTACTATCTGTCCACATGTAGACATGATTAATGCTGACAGTAAGGGCTGTCAGTATATCATTTTTCAGTCGTGTGGCGAGCAGAGCATCTTGAAACTCTAGCTTCGGTATAGATAGCGCTTTCATGGGCGGAACGCGAGCTTTACCAAAGATGAAGGATATTTGAGTTTTGTGCGAACTCGAAAGCCGCGCACGCAAAAACCAACCGCACAGAAAACGTCCTGTGAGCTATCACCGAACACGTGGAGCTCAATTTGATCCATAGGCTCTGTGAGGTAACAGCGGGGAATAGTCAATTGGCCTAAGAGAGGGAGACCGGAGTGCCACTCGAGAAATTTACTTCTTATGTCTTCCGGCGATTCGCCGTCCCAACTTTGGGCACTGATGTTCCAATTAACTTTAAGCAAAAGACGGGCCCTAATTGTGTATGGAGCTACTAATTTAACAGGGTCAAAAACAGAAGACACGAAACTCAAGACGGTTTGTTGTGTTTTTGCCTTCTCGAGAGGACGATTCGCGCCTCTGCTAACAACCAATATGTCTTTCACATGGTCCCACTTAAGACCTAAGATGTGTGATGATTGCTCGGCTCCGTTACATATTTCTTTGATGGGTGAAGTCGAGGTTTCGCAATGATCGAGGTTCATTGCTGAAGTAATTTCATCAGCATTACTGAAAAATTTAGACAAAACAAATCCTCCCAACTTAAGTAACGAAACCAAATCACGGCTAATTTTAATTGCATGTGTAATGTTCTCGAACAAATTCAAGTAATCGTCCATGTAAAATTTTTCGTATACGACTGATGCTACCTCAGGGTATGTGGACATATTATAAGTTCTTGTTTTTTGCAACGCGAAATTGGCGCACGTAGGCGAATCCCGTGCGCCGAATATATGGCGAGTGTACTGATGAACTACCACATCCGAAGTGGTATCCTCCCGCCACAAAAAACGGAGCGAAATTTGATCGCGGGCGAGGACTCCTGCCTGGAGGAACATCCTCTATATCCGCGGAGACGGCGTACTTGTGTTGACGGAAACGCAAAAACACAAAAATTAAATTTTGAGTAGGTCCTGACCAACCAATAAGGACTTATTTAAGGTTGTGCCGTGAAGCTTAGAAGCCTCATTAAGGGCTCGGCGCACCTTACCCGGCTTATTCGGTTTTACGACCGGATGGTGGGGAAGATACCACTCGCGATCGGAACGCTTACGTGGATCATGCGGTTCTACGGTAACGACATAACCTTTCCTAATGTCCTCTCGTATTGTGTCTGCGTATCTTTCGCGCAGTTCAGAGTCTTTACTTAACCTTCTCTCCAATGTTTTAAATTTGGCTGGTGACGAGTAAAAATTGTTTGGTAGACTGACATTACTATCAATCCAAAG